ACGACAACACCGTCAAGGTGTGGGATGCGAGCAGCGGGGCGTGTCTGCAGACGCTCGAGGGCCATAGCAGTATTGTCAGCTCTGTAGCCTTCTCGCACGACTCGAGCAAGCTGGCGTCGGCGTCATGGGACAAGACCGTCAAGGTGTGGGATGCGAGCAGCGGGACATGTCTGCAGACGCTAAACATTGGTAAGACTCTTCACAGCCTATCTTTCGATTCGAACAGCTCCTTTCTCCGTACCGAGATAGGCCCCATTGCTATACAAGACCCGGGAATTCCTAGCGAGCCAGGTGTCGTGGAACCTGCACGTCCTCAGTATCTAGGCACAAGCCTCAGCTCCGATACCATATGGATCAAGTATAACGGCGGGAACATGTTGTGGATGCCATCAGAGTATCGGCCGTCATGCTCTGCGGTGTGCGGGAACAGAGTCGGTATGGGCGTTGGGACTGGCAGAGTGTGGACCTGCAGTGTTGACCCAGATACCCCCACGTGTGTCCTTAGCGAAGTGTAGACATGAACCAGTTGCTCCATGCCCAAGAACGAGCTTCTGAAGTCTGCTTTCAAGTGGCTATAAGGACGTACATGAGCACGCAAGTTGCATAACAAACCTTCGAAGCCGAGACTGGTGCTTTGAGAAATCCACCAGACTACTCCGCTTTATCTTACTGTCGGGGTGATGTCTCAAGGCAAAGTGAAGTCAAGATCTCCGGAAAGAATGTCAAGATATCGGAAAACTTGGAGAATGCACTTCATCACTCCGGTCTGACTGTTGGAGACCTTATCTGGAGCGACGCGATATGTATCAAATAAGACGACCTGTATGACAAGTCAAATCACGTCAACATGATGGGACAGATGTACGCGAAAGCGAAAAACGTGATTGCGTGGCTTGGTAAAGAATCACAAGAATCACGTTCAGCAGCAAGACTCGTACAGGAACTCTCAAAGAGCGTGAGGAGAACTCCGCCTCCATCTGGTTAAGCAAGTGGCGGTGGTGTTGCGGTTTTGCCAATCACTGACATTTTTCTCGCCTCTTTCGCCAACCATCCCAATCCAGCAAAAGCTATTTGAGGCCTTGCTGAGCTTCTGTCTCGACCGTACTGGGAGCGTGTCTGGATTATCCAAGAGATTCTCAAGGCTAGAACGGTCGAGATTCGGTGCGGCAGGCTTCAGATAGATCTCGAGGGCAGCCTGTACGCCGGGACTCGGCACACAGGGCTATCCAAGCGGAACAGAAGCCTGCTAGCCGCCATTTCCAAGTTTCGAACGCAGGAGCAGCTGAAAGCTAGTCGCATGTCTCTCATCCAGGCGCTACTCATGAGCCGATCCACGCTTGCCACGGACGAACGAGACAAAGTCTATGCACTCCTGGGACTTGCGGGGATGGTGCAAACCTGATGCCAACGCCAAACTATGTGGATCCCGTTCCCAAAGTATTCGAGCAGCTCACGAAAAGAATCATAGAGTGTCAACAGCAAAGCCATGTGGCGTTGCTTGCCAAAAGAGCACCGTTATCCTACCACTTCCCAGAATCATGTCCTTTGGCTATTGACTGGGCAGAACTCGCATGTAATGTTACTCAATGGTTGATTGGCACATCAAATACCACGCCGAAATCTGTGGTCCAATTACCCGTTTTCAAGAATTTAACATCACATACCTACGCACGGACGGCTCCTCGGATCCATCACGTAACATGAACAAAACTCAGACTCTTGGATGTCGTACATCCCGGACAAAACGGGAGCACGATCCAACTCTGGCGTCATGAGCAGGATATCCTTGAGCGTTCTTGAACGTCTAAGCCCTGGAAACTCTGCTATCTCAGCAATGAATCAAAAAGAACTGACCTACACTCTGGTACGGATGATCAGAGATGCCGAAAACGGCTCTGCATCTGCGAGTTACGACTTGCCTCGAGTATATCATACCCTGTGTCGGCTGAAGAATGTGTACCTCCACCGCATGCCGATTTGGGAATGGGCAAGGAAGGCCAATTATCGCAGAGCTGAAAAGCCAATGGGCATCTGGAAACGTCTTGTCTGATTTTCTTGGAGATCGCCAGTTCACCAGGCAACAGTCGGTGTTGCGAAGCGAGCGGCTTCCCCCGTTTCTTCGCGACGACTCTTCGAAGACTCTCCCAAGGAGGGTGTCGGTGAAACCACAGAAAGAACATTGGATGGCGTAACGTCCCTGCTGCCGGTGGCGTTTAAACCGTGGGAAGAGATCCTAGCAACCTTCAATGTTCTTCCTGAGAATCGGCTTCAGTTTGCCATTGTGGACGACGAGCACTTGGTCATTTTCCCCAGAAACGCGGGCAAGGGAAACAGCATCTACCAATCGACCACTGCACCCTACCTGTAGTGCTGGAAAGCTTTGGGAAGGAGATCATTACCTCTTCGGAGAAGCGTACATCGGTCGACAGTTGGACGGCGCTTGGTTACCTGGCGTACACTCGTTACTTCCCGATCGCAACCAGGAGTGGGAACGCGCGGATTCGACTATAAGGATCAATTTGGCGCGCTCGGCGGTTGTTCGAGCTCGTGGGGTAGGGCACCTGGCTGGCTCTGACTATGACTCCGAGGCTGACTGATGGGGCCGGTCATGGTATATGCGGGCGAAAATACTGTATAAGAAGGCGGAGGGGTTGGCGGTCTAATGTATTCTAGAGCTCTCCCACATGTAAAGGCAGCTCCTCAGCTCTCTAAGATGAACTAATAATCTATCTCCTTTAAATTGCTAACTTTCTAATCATTACAATAGATCTTTATAGACATGTCTCATTGTAAACGAGCAGGAGCGCATTGGACGAGCGCTAGTAGACAGCACTAATATAATAAACAACACAACTAGTTAAGAATAGTTATATTTTTAGGCGCTAGAGTGTGATGTACTAGAAGAATAAGAATTACAGAGTAGATGTGTGCTAGAACTGCTAGTTTACAGACATACTAAGAGCTTTCGAAGCACCTCAGAGGAAAAGTATCCTGTTACATTATGCGTTCTAGCACACTTGGATTAGTATTAGTTATTCTTGCCTGCAGCACCTCGGAGTCTACGAATAATACCACTCAGCGTGAGTAGTCTTCTTTCACAAGCTCAACCCACACACGGCGCTTTTCACCTTTGTTCTCTGTTTGGCACGTGCTACGTGCGTAGTTGTACTGCAGTACTACGGGGTACGCCTGCAGTTACTGCTACAGACTGTACAGTCACATGCTACAGTAGATTTTGGGACGCTACGGCGCGAGGCGGAGGTAGTCTGCTCCAACTATCTCTCTCTCTTTCGCTTCGGGCTCGGGGACGAAAGGGAAAAGCTTCTTTAGATTGTGCACCCTTATACAAACGAAAACTCATCGCTCACTCAACAGGCACAACGGGACACTCCACAGGAAGAAAAAAGCTGCTCGAATTAAGCGTCTGAACGTCGAGTAATCCCATCCCTATCCATTCCACATCTTCCACGCCTTCGAAAGCCAAAAAGAATAAAATAAAGAGAAGTATGAATATGGTATAAGCAACCGCCCCCTTCGCGAACCCATCCCAACCCTGCACGTAAAAACAGCGCCCTGATCCGAGCCCGCGCGCCAGATACAAAGACACCGTGCCCGCGCAACCCAGCACGGATAAGGTAGCGAATGTGACAAAGAGATGAGAGAGACAGCCCGGGCCCAGATAGATGAGAGCTTGTCGTGTCGTGTGTCTGCAAATAAGAAGCATCAGAACTCCGGCTCTCGGATATCCAACCGAGACGCAATGGAAATGTGCAAGTCGGGGAGGGCCTCCCACAGCCGTGGTGCCCCCGGTGGAACCGACGCGGGGCGAGAAAGAGGGGTATATAAGGGTTTTTGTGGTGTGAAGATGACGTGTCCGACGCTGCCGCAGTGTGTCGTATTGGGCCGAGAGTGAGCGTTCACGCGCGCGTCGAGGACGGCAGCAGTGTGCGCAGACTGTGGCCGCCGTACAGCAGTACATTTGCCAGGTCATTACCGGTCCTTGAGGAAGTCATCGACGCGGTTGTGGTCCGTCTCAGTTCCGGCTGCGTGCTGGATTTCTGGCGACGTTGGGCCGTCCTGGAAGATCCTGCCATGCAGGGCTGACGAATCCATGCCCTACATACCATCGCCAGCCTCGACACCGTTTGTAAAGTCATCGAATCCGACCAAGCTACCGAAACCGCCGGGGTCTTCACCGGTATGTAGGAACGAGTCGAAGTCAAAGTTCTCGAGCGCGGCATCGCCGTCTCCAAAGTTGAGGCCGATATCGAACGTGTTCTCCGTGAGATCGCCAAACGGAGCATCGCTGCCCATCGGCTGCTGTTGCTGGGCAGGTTGCGCTTGCGGGGGCTGCGGGGCCTGTTGAGGCTGGCCGTTCGGGTTGAAGGACTTGGCGTGCATAGGCGTGATGGGCGTGGACGGCGTCGGTGTGGGAGCTTCTTCGCCTGCCGACGCTGCTGGCGTTGTACCTGCGTTCGGCCCTTTCTTTGGTGCGGGCTTCTGAAATCAATATCAACGCTGCTCACGACTTGGGAGCAAGTAACATACCTTGTTGTCTTTGGCACCCTTCTTCTTTGGCCCTGCTTTGTTCGCCTGGTTTGGTGTCGGCGGCGCTTGGTTGGACATTGCTGGAGAGGCTTCGGGTCGCTGCTCGTTCGCAGGCGCTGGAGGAGGCGGCATCTGACCCGGACCCCGCTGCTGGGGGCCGCCGGCCATAGGACCGCCCTGCATCATCTGCTGAGGCATTCCGGGTTGCGGTGGTCCGCCACGCCATTGACCGTTCATTTGACTGTTGCGCATAGCCTCCATCTGTTGTGGTGTCATATGCTGCTGGCCATTGAAGTTTGCGCCCGGGTGTGAGCTTGGCGGGCGCATCATAGGGTTGTTGGGCATCTGCGGGTAAAACTGCGGCGGCATGCCTGGAGTTGCGAGGTTGGGATCGGGGAAGTTCATGTTGGGTGCAGGCGAACCGCGCTGTTGTTGCATCACGCCCTCGGGCATGGGCGAGCCCGGCAGTCCTTGCTGGCCCAGCTTGGGAGTCCGGCCCTTCATATCTGCTGGGTTTGGCGACGGCCCAGCTCGAGACCCGGAGGGTGACATGGCTGGTGGGAACTGGCCTTGGCCCTGCTGGTGCGGACCAGACATGTTGTCCTGTTCTTGCCTTGCCATGAGTAACCGCTTCTTGTTCTGCTGTTCCAGTAGCATGAGCTGCATCTGGTAGTCTTGCAGAGCATGGCTGCCCTGCTGGGGCTGCTGACCGGCCTGCTGGGGTGGCATGCCGGGTCGGGGTTGGTTAGGCCCGGCAAACATGATCTCCTGGCCGTCCAGGCCTTGGTTCATGGGAGAGCCCTGGGTCATAGCCTGGGGGGAGGCAGTGTTATTGAGTGCTACTCTGTGTACTTGGGCCAGGCCCTGGGCGTATACCTCAATGTTCTTCTGCTGCGCATTGTTGGCCTGCTGGCCAAACTCGTTGAACTGAGCATTGGGCATGTTGCTGCTCATGGCGCCTGTGTCGCACGAACATTAGCAGGTGCAGGCAGAGCCGGCGTGTGCACGACTTACCATCAACCCGAGGCCGCTTGTTCGGAGACGGGGCGTTCTCGTTCGAGCTGGGTGAGGGGGCACGCTGGCCGTTCATGTCCATCTGCGAGCCGTCTCGCTGCATCTGGGCGCCCATCAGGTTGGGCTTGTTCATCTGGCCCATGTTGGCCATAGGGTTGCCGTTGCTGTCGTCTGTCAGCAGGGCGCGGTGCGGGCGCAGCGGGTTGCCGTTGACATACGGGCGGTTGTTCTGGAGGGCGGCGCGCTTGAGGTCGTTCTGGGCGACGCCGTTGGGCATGTTGGTGCGCATCATGTTGCCCACGTTCTGGTACTGGGCATTCATGGGGTTGCTCATCATCATGCGCTGGTTGCGCTGCTCGTTCTGCATCTGGGTGATGTGCTGGGCCACGGTTAGCGCGGGTGCGTCAGCAGCGGGCGGGAGAGCGTACCCGGGTGTGCTGGATGTACTGGGCGCCCTTGGTGGGCTGCCCCGAGCGCACCTTGGTGGCCTGGTAGATGTCCCAGAACTGGACCCACCAGTCGAGCAGGAACGAGTTGTCGGCCATCTGGTTCTTGGGCAGCAGCGGGTTCGGCAGCCCGGTGACCGAGTCGTCGTCCATGGGGTCGATGCCATTGGGCTTGTTGCCGGGGCTGGGCTTGGGCACGACCGAGGTCGACATCTTCATGTCGCACTCGACCATGGCGCGCGCCAGGCGGTTGTGGTTGTTGCGCAGGAAGTAGTCGTAGATGTACGTGTTGAGCTGCTCGCGCGGGTCCATCTGCTGCTGGAGCTGCGGCGGGCCGGGCATGTTCATGGCTGCCATGACGGGCGTGCCGTTGACGGGGCCGCCGTTCGCGTTCGCGTTCATGGCCATCTGCATCTGCTGGTTCTGCATCGCGACGCGGGGCGGACGAGGCCGGCTGCGTCAGAGCGCAGGCGACGGAGAGCGGCGAGTTGGGCGATGCGCGCGCTGGCGGTCGTGGCAGCACTACACGCGGCCGTGTCGTGTCGTCGATCCCCAGTGGAGCTGCGGGCGGGCGTGCTGCTACGGGCGCATCAAGTGGCGCGCCGGGGAGTCGCGGGCGGTGTGGGCGTGGGTGCCGGGTGCTGGTCAGCGGCCACCGGGTCGATGGTGCGCAGGCGACAGGAGAATCCGCGGACGGGCAGTGTCGAGGATGCGCTGCGATGATGGGGCGGCGGGCGGTGCGTGGCAGGGTTCAGGCTGAGGAGAGCCCGGCGGAGGGTTCTGCGAGAACGCGAGCGATCTGGTGGAGGCCGGCAACACGAGTCCACAACCACGGATGCGAGTCTGCGAGTCTGCGAGTCTGCGAGCTGCGCGATGGAGCGCGTTCGGGTAGACAGGCTGGCACTGTTCGCAGTGTGCAAATGAATTGAAGCCATCTGTTGCAGCCATGCGGGATCCATGGTTCCTGTCTGCCAAGACACAAGTCACGTGTAACTCCTATTTTAGAACCCCCCCAACCACTTTTGAAATTGACCGCGAGGATCTCGACTTGCAGCATGATTGCAGGCAGAAATCGCTGTCGCGCTCTGCATCGTTACCGCCAGCCTCTCCCGTGCGCATAGGGCGCCCTGACGAGCTGCGCGCCTCGGGTCACGTCGTTACGAAATGGCGCGTGGTTGGCGTACCCCACCACGGAGCCCTGCGCTGGAGGAGCCGATCACTACGTCTGCCATTCAGCCCTGCGACTGCCTCCAGACGAGACGTGCGCAGCACAGCTCCAGTAACGCAGCAACGGAATATCGAACGTCAGACTGCCATGCATGTTCTGTATCTCGCTGATGGAAACATGCGTCAAGTAAGTGGTAACATTGCATGTCAAGAACAGCAATGGTTGCACAACTGCTGTGCTTCTATGCCGGCAATACTCAATTGTCATGGGAACCTGTGAATGTTACACAGGCAGTCGTAACCTTCAATGCGGTGAACGGTGCGAGCAGTACGGCCAGCATTCTGGAAGCCATTTCTCTTACTAGGGCGCTCTTGAAGATCGAGACTACGGACGGTAACCGCACTGTCTGTTGGCCGCATTGCTTCCTTACGGTTACTCAAGCGCGATCGACGCAGTACATGGTTGACTGCACTGTATTTGCTCCAGCTGTCGAGGATCCAAGTGCTTAGATCCGATTTGAATGGCCGGGCAGGATGCCGAAATCTCGTCGATCAACTTCAACAGCCTCGCTGTAGATTGGGTTTGCAGAGGCGCTGACTTGATGTAGTTCGGCTGGGTATGGGGTATTTGTAAAGACTTGCAGAAACGTCGACTCTACTCGTCATCAGGTGGCATCTCATCGTCAATGTAGCGGACCAAAGATACCCGCATCTCAGTGGTGTCGTTGCCTCGAAGGACATCACTGACGAAATGTGCCTCAACCTGCATGTGCACCTGTACCTGCGTTAGCGCAAGACAGCTAGTCCGGGCATCAAGGACCTACCATCTCCAAGGCACCACGCAGCACGCCGACCAGTATGTTCGAGAACCATAACTCGTCCTGCGCGCGGCCATCGTCAGGCAGCTCGACAAAGTCGGCAAGAGGGTTCTCGTCGAAGATGAGCGAGAATTGCTTGTTGTCGCTGGACCAGTTGGTGATTGTGGGTGTGATGTTCAAGAAGATCTTGAAGCCGACCTATGCGCCGGTGAGCCGTGACTGCCAGGACTGCGGCCGTGTGCCGGCTACTCTACCTTTGAGATCATCTCAGCAACCTCCCGGAAGTTGGTGCAGGTTGGAGCGCTTGACTTGGCCAGGAAGTCCTCGATCAGCCGTATCCCAATGTTGTAGCCCATCTTCTCCAGTTGTTTGTTGACTTCGGGGTAGTTGTGTTCGTAATCTTTGCATAGTTGCGCGACGATGGTGCCGTATGTGAGGGTGACGAGCTCGGCGCTGACCTTGTCTACTCGAGTTCTGCCCTGTCAGAACACTGAGAGCAAAGAGCTTTTACGCCAGACTTACTTCCAGACTCTAGCAGGTATTAGCACGTATCACAAGCCGTTGCGATGCATCTGAAGCTCACTCCTCGCCCAGACGGGCTGCCTTTGTTGACGATGCCATCTCTTTCGCACTCTGTGATTTCTTGTTTCTGCCCAAGGATGTCCTCAATCTACAGAGTAGGCAACGGAAGCAAATGTGGGGTAAGCTTCGATCTAGGGCGCTGCGGTGGTGGAATGCCCGTGGTGGAGCGCGTACCGCCGTGAGCTAAAGTCCGCTGTCGATCCTTGGCAGGCGCGAACTTGACGAAAGTTTGGGAAAGAGCTACCCATACACCAGGACCATATCGCAACACCCGCCAGACACCCGTATCGAGCCGCAGACGAGCGCAACCCAATTGAAATGTCACAAGTGAAACGCCCTGCGAACGACGCGTTTGGCTCGAACCAGCTGGTCAAGCGCGCAAAGTCAGACGCGAACCTCGACAGCACCGCGGTTGCCATCTCCAGTGGAACAGGACAAAATGGCGCTCTCATACGAGCGGTATGTGCGACCCTTGGTCTTTGGATAGATTGCACACCAGCTGAACATGGACTCGGGCTGACAGGAGCTATAGGGACCGCAAGGCGGCGCACTGCAGTCGCCGGTCATGGAATTGACAGGCCATTCTGGGGAGGTCTTTGCAGCACGATTCGATCCAACCGGCCGCTACATTGCCTCCGGATCTATGGATCGTTCTATCTGTTAGTTCGCTCACGACATCAAGTACTATATACGTGCTGACACAGCTCAGTGCTCTGGCGAAGCTCTGGCGCGTGCGAAAACTACGGCATTCTCAGTGGCCACAAGCAGGCTGTGTTGGATCTCCACTGGTCGCGGGACTCTAAAGTGCTGTTCTCTGCATCGGCAGACATGCACCTTGCAAGCTGGGACGTTGAGACTGGTGAAAGGATACGAAGACACCCCGGACACGAAGAAGTCATCAACTGCATGGATGTGAGCAAGCGCGGTGAGGAGATGCTCGTCAGCGGCTCAGACGACGGCTACATTGGCGTAAGTGAGCATGTGTAAGCCTCTAGGAATGCTGCTAATGCGGATCGCAGATCTGGGACACAAGAACCAAGGACGCTGTAACTTTCATCCACACAGACTTCCCAATTACAGCGATATGCCTGGCGGAAGCTGGAAACGAGTTGTTCACAGGAGGCATCGACAACGACATCAAGGTCTGGGATTTGCGAAAGCAGGCCGTCACTTACACACTCATTGGACACGCCGACACAGTGACGTCGCTACAACTCTCTCCCGACAATCAGACGCTGTTGTCAAACGCACACGACTCCACAGTCAGGACATGGGACGTCAGACCGTTTGCGCCTGCGGACCGCCGCATCATGACCTTCGACGGAGCACCCACCGGGCAGGAGCGCAACCTTCTAAAAGCGAGCTGGGACTCAAAGGGCGAGAAGATCGCAGCCGGTAGCGGAGATCAGAGCGTAGCCATTTGGGAGTCGCGGACGGGCAAGCTTCTCAATAAGCTTCCCGGGCATCGCGGTGCTGTGAATGATGTTCGCTTCCATCCGCTGGGTGAACCATTATGTAAGTCTTCCAAACTTTCCGTGCCGCACGTTTTATCATCTCCGTCACTCGTCGCTCGCCGCTTTTTGCAACGCGATAAGTCTTGAAGACCCCCGAGATTGAGCGATGCTTGCTTTCCAAGACAGCGGCGTCTTCAAGCTTTTCCAAGGCTCTGGATAGGATGTGCTCGAAGCGTACCTCAGGAGCGCACTCCGCTGGGAGGGTCTTCATTGCATCGCATTTCAACGCCTTTGACCGCTACGATACGAAGCTTGAGACTGACTTGGCAAATCTAGTGGTCTCCGCATCGTCAGATCGCACGCTCATGGTCGGTGAGCTGGGAAGGTGAAAGGGTGGAGTCTGAAGCACTTGGCTACCGACTTTAGAAATAGAAGCACAGCTCTACGCGTAGGGAAAGGACCGAGGTGGGTAGAGCGGAGGATCGGCTGCGCCGCGCGCACCTCACAGAGGCGTTCTTCACGTTCACATTGGATACGCCGGTGCGACGCTGGGTGGAAGGGGTTTCTCCCGGTCCGGTCTCGATGAGGCTGCAAGGAGAGCAAGCGTCGAAGACGCGCCATGGGCGCGACAAAGTCAACTGCAGTGCGACAAAAACAGTGCAGTCAGGCAAATAATCAACATCAAGACAACAGAGATCAAGGCTGTTGTTCATATACACTGTTGTATGGCTCATGTTGCACGACTGCGCTGGCATCGTCCTGTCAGAAGTTTATCAGGGGCCACAGAATGATTGGCCGTGGTGGTTCGTGCCTTGTCGTTCGCGCACCGCTGGCCAACCACCTCACATACCCACTGTTAATGCCTGGAAAGCACGACTTCCCGACCATCCACTGGTGACAACAAAGCCAAAAATGGCTATTCTGATGCAGCCATGTGCGCGCATTGGTCCGTGAAATGGTGTAGATCCGCTGGCGTGGGGAGAGTTTCACTTGATGTTCCTGACACACGCCGCTCGTCGCAGAAACGCCTGGCGTTCAATGCTTCCTCGACCTCAAGCGTCCTTGCTGCAGGGTGCAGCCCCTCGGTACGACTTGGGTTCTCCCTCCTCCACATGTTGTGCTTCTTTCCCTTAACTCGCCGTCATTGGCAGCCGTGCTGTTGTTTCGCTTCTCTCCATTTCGCACCTTCGTTTGGTTCTCGGGCTCTGGATAGCTGTATGCTACCTTTTCCCTTGAGGTATACAGCGACTATCAGATAGTCGCCCTCTTCAATTTCATTGTTGAAAGACTTGTAAAGGCACAATCAACGGTCCCACGCTCCTGTTATGCAAGGCTTTCTATGACCTTGAGCGGGCTCCAGTCATACCTTCATTTCACCTTCCGTTCAACCCTGTTACCGTTCCTCCCACGAGAGTGTACCTGCATGGCCAGTAGTACAAGCCATTCATTTACCGTTAGACGAGAAATACGATAAACAAAACCGACGTGTTCGACTAGGGAGACGCGTCTGATATAGGATATCCGCACAAAAACAAATCCCTCGACTCACGGACACTGTATCTGAAGACTCCACACGCTTCACTACATACAACACCATGTTTCGGTCATCGATATCCATCTTTGGTATCAGGACTCCACGATTGGAGCAAGATGTGGAGAACCCTCCAGTGCCAGCCTTGCCCGTGGAGAACTCGCCCGCACCACACTCACAGTCTCGGTTTGCTCGATTATCGACCAACGCGAGAACATTAGTCGGCTCCTCCATCTACTCACGAACACCGGGACAGCCAGCATGGAAGACACCGAAGATGCCTTCGCTAGGGTTCGGTCGTCGCCCGGTATCAGCCGACCTTGACACAGTCGTCGACGAGTCGAACGGATCACACTCACACCTAGCTTCTCACTCGGCTGCGTCCTACGTCGGTGCGATATCACAAGAGAACGTCCGGACGCCAGAACAAGCATACAACCGTCACCCGGCAGATGTACCACTGCAACAGCACGATCGTTTTGTCGATCCTGAAGTTCAAGAGATTGCAGATGAGATCAACCACGGCCCACAACGACACAAGAGGCGCAGGAGAAGAAGGCAGCACCGTGCCGACCACTGGAAGCGAAAGAGGAGCGATCGAGGAAAGGTTATGCCTTTTGTTCGTGGCACAGCAGCACGTGGCAAGCTTATTGCTTGCATAATCTCTGGCACCTGCCTTGTCACCGTCCTCACCACTTGTAAGCTCTAAACTAGCAAATCGCATTCTTGCACCCGCTGACAGTGACCTAGACCTCGCCATCGCCCTGACAAACAAAGATATCGGCCAAGAAATTCACATCCTCTTCATCATGATCCTGCTCAGTATCACGATTTTCTTCTGCCACTCCCTCATCCGACTCTGCATGCTTATGCTCAACCCACCCCGCGAAGTCGAACGCTATGCCGTCCCCAACCTCACTGCACCAGAGGGTTTCCAGCCCGTCGTCCCCATCCCCGTGCGCCTGGCGCGCGACGACGAGATCGACAACGACGACAACGACGACGACATAGAGGAGGGCGACGACCTCGAGAAGGAGAAACTGCCCCCTCCCCCTCCCGCGTACGGGCTGTGGCGCAGCAGCGTAAGGGTCGACCCGAACCTGCTGCACTGGCAGCGCGTGGAAGAGAACAGGGCCCAGTCCGCCATCTCCATGCCCCGGAGCAGAGATGCGTCTGTTATTGCGGCCTCGACCCGCGATGCGCCTGTCGCTGAGCCGGTCAGTGCTCCGCGGCCACCGAGTTATGTCAGTGAGGATGGCGTGAGCTATATCACTGAAGCTGCACCCAGGAGCGTTGCGCCGCCTCAGGATGGGCCTGCGCCTGCCATACACCCTGCATGGCGGACGAGCTATGTCATGAGCGAGATCCGGCCAGGCGAGGTGCCTGCGTCCATGGGCCGACGCTGATGGCTAGTTCTGGTGTTTTGTTTCAGCGTTGTGTACTGTATAGTATTACTTAGTCCCTATTTGAGCGATGGAGTTTCGGAGCGAGTCAACGAGCGCATCAAGCCATTGAGCACAGTGAGTCAGCGTCGCGCGAGAGATGATGTCACGCACATGTTTCAAAGCTGCGTGTGTGGGGCATGTGGGGAAGGTGCCGCAGATGTTGTTACATGAAGACGGCGTGACGACGGCATGAAAGAGCAATCTAATCCGGATTCAAGGTTCGAAGGCATATGCATGTTCCGCCGAACGGAAAAAAAAGTTCTGTTAACTACCGAATAATATCTGTTCTACCTCCTTCAAAGCCCATCGCGATAGATGCCTTGCGAACATTGTACAAGAGTGAGGTTGCCACTGAAAAGTCATTATCTATTAGTCGTGCCACATGAGTATCGTACCCATAACGCGTAATCACAAGCAGCGCGTGTCGTGTGTATATCCCAACCATGCCCATCTATCATCAGTTAAAATGGAAACCATCTCATGCGCATCATACCATCGTGCAGACCCAATTATGCCTCATCTATCATCAGTGAAAATGGAAACCATCTCATGCGCATCATACCATCGTGCGGCACATGCTCATCACACCCGTTCCATGCCATTGCCCTCCAGTCCAATCTTCTCCCTCTTTTCCTTGACTTCCTCGTCTTTGTCGTCGTCATCCTGTCCAGGGTTGGCGACCTCGTACTCCAGCATCTTGATGAACTTGTAGAACACCACCGCGATGATGGCGCCCACACCAGGGCCGACCCAGTAGATCCAGTGCTCGACGTCGAAGACACCAGTGACGACGCAAGGACCGAAGCTGCGTGCGGGATTGAGCGAGCCACCGGTGTAGTACACACCGACCAGTTCTGCAATGAACAGAGCCAGCCCAATACCAACAGGGGCGATGAAAGTCGCTGGAAGTTGTCAGTGATCATATCCCAAGTGTGAGTAGAAATAAACATACCCTTATGCTTCTCCTTGGCCAGCATGAAAATCGTAAACACCAACTCAGCCGTAAGCACCGCCTCGATGAACACACCTCTAACCAAGCTCGTCCCCGAGCTCAGCGTCGTCCTGACATTGAACGTTGTCGGAAACAATTCACTGACAACCCAACTACTGAAAATGCTTCCGGCAACCTGCGCCACCAGCAGCAAACTCGCTCGAATCGGCGAAATCGCGCGACAAAGCAGCATCGCAAACGTAACGGCAGGGTTGAAAAGACCACCGCTGATGCGGAAGAAAATCCATACATTGACCATCAGACTGAACCCAAACACGATGGAAATGTACAGCAGCACCGTGGGCGAGAACCCCGTCGCCTCACCCGTCGTGGTGTTCGACTCGTCCGCGCCCGCATTCGAGCCAATGTTGGCAACCTGCGTCCCTGCGAACGCGAAGAACAGGAACATGGTCGTCCCGACGAACTCGCCAATGAAAGCGACGAAGTGGTTCTTCGCGTTCGAGTTCATCCACATGGTCCACGGGAGGCGCATGACTTCGGTCGTGCTGGGCGGGCTGCGGGGCGGCATGCGGCCACCGCTACCACCGGCGGCGGCGGCGGCAGCGGCGTACAGTCGCTTGCGTGGCGTATCCCGGTCCGAGTCGTAGTAGAGCTGGTACCCTTTTGCGCCGGTGTGGGACTCGTCCTCGGAGAAGCGGGATGCTTGGCGTGGGTCGAGGGATGGGCGTCCTGGGATAGGGCCGTGGCGTTCAAACGTAACAGGTGGCCTGCGGTGCTGGCGGCTCGCGCGGCGGCGGACTACTGCACGCGGGTCCTCTTCCTCGTCTGAGTAGTCTTCCACGTAGGGAGTTCTATGTGTGGTTCGATGAGTGGTGCGCTTCTCGTAGCGGCGGAAGTAGTCAGCATCATCTGGTGCGGCATAAGCTTGTCCTGGAGGGCCATAGGCGTTAGGGTCAGAGTAGCCACGGATCCTCTGCACGGCCGTGCTTTGCTTTGGTGCGGATGCTGTTGTGAGGCCAAAGGTATCTGTTGGGTCTATGGGAAGTATTGGTGATATGGGAGCAAGGCTAGGTTCAATGTGCGCCTGATGTGGTAATTGGAGGAGTTGTTTGCGGGACTCCCGAGAACTGTAGTGGCGGGGCGCGGAAGGAGATTCCATTATGGTTCCGTCTTGGAGTTGCTGACCGTAGTATTGTGGCAGTGGACTGGAGGTAGCCATCGGCCTGCAAGGATCTGTTGCACTGCCTCAGGGCTGAGGCGATTGAACGAAATGGTACTTGAGAAACGAACTAGATGGGTGGTGGTGGAAACTAGGTTCTAGGCAGATATACTCTTGTCGATTATTTCCAGATGAAGTAGTAAGGTCAACAGGATAGCTGGGGTGACAGGAGAGGAGACCGTGGGATGTTTTGTGAACGGCTGGCATGAGGGTTATGCAAAGGAGATATAGACAACAGACCAAGTAGCGACTCGGACCCTGAATGAGCCCCCAAACTACCTCGTCAGTACTATTTCCACTCATTTTCGTATCGACAGGGTCCTGCTCTTGCAACTACAGTGCGCGATTCGTTGATTGAAGCAGCCAAGGGCATTGCAGCCCAGGAATGTGCACATCGAGGTCAAAGCGAAGATGATAATGACGTCTATCAGGGTCCCAAGGATTGTCACGGACATTGTCGTGGACAAGAGATCTTGCGTCGAAGCATGGTACATGCTGCAGTAAAGGCAAGCACAACCCAGGCGGTGGACTTGAATACGTGAGACTTATAGGGCCGAGATCGTGTAAGGACCAAAAGAATGGATTACCGAGTCGAAAAGCAGTCTGCCTTGGAAGTTGAATCTGTACGTGCAAGGGCTTCGCTTGCATCTGAAGCGACGGCCGGGATCGTCAGGGCTCCGGCACGCTAAAGTTTGGTGTTCTACGTGTCACGGAAGAGGAACATCCCTGCAACGGTGTTACGACCAGTTCCTAGTGCCTGTCACCAGCAAAAGTAAAACGGCCAGTTAAGTAAACCTAAAAGGAAACCCCTTTCGATGGGTCAACAATGACGACGGTGGAGGTCGCAAGTCGTTCGTATCCGCGTAATCCACATGTTCGACCTGCCACCACCCAGCCTTCCAACCCGCACGCATCCGTACACGATGTGCGGAGATCCCACGACGCGCAAGCACGTTCGCTTCACTCAATGACTGGAATGGTCATTTACGTTGATCGCACCTAAGTCTTGAAGATTCGCGGATGTAATCTCACCGACGACGTGGAGGTTGCAGGGGAGCAAATGGCCCGAAAGTAGGCTCGGTGAGAGAAGTATGAACCATGTTTCAATTGCCACCACAACTGAACACATCAAGAAAGTATCTATCAAGGGCTTCGCAACTAGACGATAGATGCGGAAACGAGCAATGTAGATGTATCAATGTGTCGTTGCTCGAGGTTCTTAGTGGTCGAGCGCAGATTTACGCAGGCCTTGGATGTGCTCCTCGCTGCTTTAGGGACAGGTGTGGCTATGCCAGACATCAGAGTGTGTATTTCGTCATGGTATTTTATACACGAGTCGGTCGCAGGGGTGCTGCCTCTCGAATGCGACGAAAGGTGATGCATAGAAAGCAATCTCTCAACGAAGTTGCTTGCCCTAAACTTTCTCGACCGTGTGAGCCAGGTGATCAGCCTGGCCCAGGTCCTGCTCTTTGGTCGCACGTGTCGTTGAAATGATATCCATTTCCCTTCTCTCTTCGGTCCGTACCTGCTGCCACACGAGCAGTGCTGTCCAGATGGCCACTCATGGATGTCAGTCTTGGCTCGGGAAGATGTGTGCAGTCAGACTGTCGAACTTACTTGCAATTGACACTGCAATCATGGCCCACATGCCACGTGTGAAGAAAGGTGCGAAGTTCGCGCCGTAGAATACGATTGACCACCATGCGTTGACGGCGTTACTACCCATGTTCATCGATGCGATGACCACAGCGCGCAGGCTGTCTTCTTCATAGCGCAGTACGTCATTAGCCCATGCGAAGAAGGTGGCTTGACAGGCATAAACACTGCCGGCCCAGTAGTACATCGCAAAGTGTATGGTGGTGCTCTCCGGATACGCTAGGATCAAAGCACTTGTAATAACACCGGTCAGACCGATCCAATACCCAACTGTGAAGTTGTCAGCGATGGATCCAGGTTCATACGTTCATACTTACCAAGGTAGCGCTTGCCACCTATGAAGTCGGTGAGCGTCGCCCAGAAGAGTGTCGAGGCGATACCGACCGCGGGGATCCCAGTCGGATAGTTGTTCAGCTGTGTCACAGTGTATTTCTTCGCTGGGTGCGACTTCATATACAGAGCGAGAAGCGCGTTTGTACTGAACGATTCGGTTTCGCCTGCGAGGATCCAGAGAATGACGAAGAAGTACCAGTACCAGGTCGAAAAGCAGTGCTTTAAGAAGCTCCACGAGATAGGCGTTCGCTCAGAGACTTCTGGAACACGTGAGATCGCGAGAGCTTTCTCATCTGCACTGAGGTATGGGGCTTTCGTGTTTCTTGGGGTATCGGGGAAGAGCAGAAAGCCATATAGGGCGACAGGCAATGTGATGATTCCATCGATCACAAAGAGCCACCGCCACCCTGACAGACCGTTCAGCCCGTCCATGCTAGAGTGGATGCCAGTCTGGATGAACCCTCCGATCATGGTACCGGCAAGCCCAGACGCTGTGAAGATACCTGAGCGCTTGCCCAGTTCCTTCTCAGTGTACCAGGAGCCTAGGATGTAGTGGGTCCCAACGAAGGTCGATGCTTCAAACATGGCTTGGAAGAAGCGAATGGCCATGATGTCTTGAGGCTTCTGGGCTGCAGCCGTCACCATTGTCAAGCCCGCCCATGCTACCTGAGCGAGTCAGCTTGAGCATCTCCAGCCTCCAGTTCGCACTCACCATGCATGCTGGGAAGAAATATCTCGGTTTGATATAGTACAAAGCGATGTTGCAAGGCACCTGGGCAATAGTGTAGCCAACAGTAAAGACAGTGTTAATCTGGTTCAACTGGTTGCCTTTGAAGTGCAACTCCTCCCGCATGCCCGAGACGTATGCGTTGTTCAGGTTGGTGCGATCGAGGTAATTCAAGAAGTACATGAGGCAGCAGAATGTGAGAATGAAGAAGTCGAGCTTCTGCACCAGCTTGCGCTCGCCAGGCGCATTGTGGGAGCCCCGCAGGTACTGAAGGAAGCCGTTCGCCATCGCAGCTGTTGTCGAAGAGCCTCACAGCTGTATGAGGTCTGGATGGGAGTTGCGACTAGAATGTGAGCTGCTCTGTTCCTTCACAACGGCTCTGACGGTGCCAGTTGAGCTTCCCTTATATGGGCCGGCACGATTGCCGCCAAGGCCAGGTAGAATTCGGTAATGTTCACCCGCGCGTATTCTACTGATAGACGCGAAGTACAAGATATGGCAGAGATAGTAACGCGTGAACCTGATTCGCGGTGGATGATACCAGCATCTTATCTTGTATTTCAACAATGGCGATGCAACATCGGAGCTCCGGGATCCTTCTTCGAGTCAGCCGTAGTACTCGAAGGTCGTCGCGGCGGATGCAGAGGCAAGCGGAGGATGAGGGTCTCCAGAGGAGGTTAGATGGGTGACCAACTGCCAGGGGATCTCGCTCGAATTGTCCAATCACAGCGCGCGGGGTTCGGATAGGCAATTTGCATCAAGCCAGTTGGTAGCGAAAGTGGCGTTATCGTCACTCTCCGCAGCGAACATGTACCGAAAGGTGGGGAGCTTGCGCGCCAAAGAGCGCGTGACGCTGGTAGTCGCAATAGCTTACCTCTAAGGTTCAAGCTTCTTAAGAAGCTTTTATAGACACCGTGACTCTGTTGCTGCTATCGGTTGCTGTTGTTCGAAGAGCTGTAGGTGACAATGTCTTGGGAAAAGATCGCCAAAGCGAAGCAAGCGGCTCTTGCGGAATCAATTCCGTCCGAGTATCGCATCCCCAAGGACCTTCTACCACCGGATTCGCAACTCGATGTTACACCGTGGCCCAAACAATCAGGCTGGTTAACAGTGAAAGAGTTGGAGATTACAGAGAGTACTGCATCGACTATATTGCAGAAGATTGCGTCGAAAGCATGGACTTCGGAAGATGTGACGAAGGCATTCTGCAAACGCGCAGCAGGAGGGCACCAACTCACAAACTGCTTGACTGACTTCTTCCCTGATGAGGCCATCAAAAGCGCTGCAGCTCTCGACGATCATCTACAGCGAACTGGAAAGGTCGTTGGGCCTCTCCACGGCCTCCCAATCTCGCTCAAGGACAACTTCAACATCAAAGGCAAAGACAGCACAGTGGGCTTCACCTCTCTAGTCGACCAGCCTGCGGAGTATAATGCCACGCTTGTCGATATACTGCAAGGATTGGGCGCAGTGCTTTACTGCAAGACCAACGTGCCCACAGCCATGATGATCGCGGAGTCTGTCAACAACACCTTCGGTCGCACTATCAACCCACTCAACCGCGCCCTTACTTCCGGCGGCTCATCAGGCGGAGAATCCGCACTCATTGCATTTGGCGGCAGTCCGCTCGGTGTTGGTACAGATATCGGAGGCAGTCTGCGCATTCCCGCGGCATGCACTGGGATCTTCACGCTCCGCCCTAGTCACGGCCGCTTCACAACACAAAGATGCCGGTCAGGGCTTGCTGGTCAAGAGGCGGTCAAGAGTGTTAACGGGCCGATGGCCAGGACGTTGGAGGATATCACGATGTATTCGAAAGCTGTCATTGATGCGAAGCCTTGGCTGGTCGATCCTACGATGCTGCCAATACCATGGCAGCCTGTTGAGCCGAAACCAAAGCTCAAGATTGCTGTCATGTGGAACGATGGGATATGCACACCCACACCGCCTGTTACGCGCGCTCTGAAGGAGACGGTGCAAAAGCTAAAGAACGCAGGCCATGAGCTGGTCGACTGGGATCCAAAGCAACTCCACTTGAAGGCTCTGCAACTCCTGGTACGTTCGGCTTACGTTCTGACCAGATGTACTTGATCTGACTGCTGCAGGGTCGTATGTTCGTGGCAGACGGCGGCAAGAGCGTCGAGGCACTACTGAAGCCCACCGGCGAGCCGTGGCGACCAGAAATGAAAATGTACGAAGACGCAACCGAGCTCGGCACGCTAGATATGTGGAAGCTGCATCTGGAGCGTACCGAATTGCAGCGACAATATCTTGAGCAGTGGGTGTCTTACGACGGGCTCGATGCCATCTTGTGTAAGTCGCTCCTCGAAGACACCGAACCACTTACTGATTTGACTGCTAGGCCCGACAGCGCCGTATCCAACTGTCAAGCACGGCGACTTCAAGTACGTCGGCTATACCGGTGTGTACAATGTCGTCGACTACTCGGCCGTCTCGTTCCCCAGCGGCGTTACTGTAGAAAAGGCTGTGGATACTCCGGCTGCCGAATACAAGGCACAAAGCGAATTCTGCCAGGCTGCTCACGATAGCTACGATGCCGAGGCGTTGCATGGGATGCCGGTAAGTCTGCAGCTTGTTGCACAGAGGCTCGAGGAAGAGAAGGTTCTCGCTATGACTGCGACTGTGCTGCAGACACTCTAGTTCCCAACACAGATGTGCATGCAGATGCTAGATAACGCGGATTGCAAAGAAGGTTTGTCGCATATCTAACTTGGTAGAGCTTTCGCAGATGCTTCCCCACGTGGCGTGACGCCACTTCTTGCGGGGAAAGAGCATCCAGATCCGGCGCGTAATAAACAATACAACCAGTCAAGACGAACATTCTACACTTCCTCTCACGACATCGCATCCATACCTTCCTCATACCCTATTCCTCTTGTCCCAACGTTCCCGACGACCAGCTTCTGCAGATCTCTTGCAATCTCGAGGCTGGTCGCTCACTTTTTTCATACATGGTTCCATTACAGCTTTACCTGAATCACAGCCTCCGAGCTGTCACATTCTGTATGAGCCAAATCATTCGGGATCTCTGAGATTTTAGGACAAGCTCATTGCAATACTCTTCCTAGGCTCTACTCCTGTTGCGCTGGGTTCGCAACCTGCAACAGGCTCACCATGAATGCAACTCAAAGCCCAGGCAGCCGAACGGCGCGTCCAACAAGACTTACGCCAGGAACAGCACTGAAGAGGCTACCGTGGCTGGACGGGAAGACCTCACAGTCGATGTCTGGAACACCTCTCGACGACGATTCTTCACCTACGACGCGTCCTTCCAATCGCAAACCCTCCGTCTTTACTACCCCAAAGCGGACTGCTACAGCATATTCGACAGCGGAATCGACTAGTCAACCTTCTAGGTCAGAAGGTGTTGTACGAAAGAAGCTTGTTTCGACACCAATCGAGCATCGAATGCTAGCAACGGCGTCACCACTTGAGAGCAGCCCTTCACCAGTGACGAGGCACCGAATGGCACAGAGCCTAAGAGGGTCCATGGTCCCACAAGAAATGTCTTACACTGACTCGATCTCACGCGAGCCACGAAAGAGACTCTCAGTTGCAGACACTTTCGACCCTGGCGTGGACGAAGAGATCAGATACGAACGTCGTGCACGAGCAGACAGCTTGGCTCCGGTACCAGACCACCTCGAGAGATCATCTACGTCTGACTCGATCGAACTACCTCTCCGGCGCGATGTGATTATGACTACGACCACGCCGGTGGTAGTGTCTCGGGTGCTGATCTCACCATCTCGACCACGGCCAGGCCGCAATGCTTTCGAGCGCATAGGAGACAGGAGTATCAGCAACGCAATTGATGGTCTGGAAGATATGGTACAAGAAGCCGTTCACATCACCAATGACACTGCAGACCAAGGTCAGGTTGAGGAAATATACGAGATCATCGAAGACGCGAGACAAGCTATCCGCGAAGCTTCTGGTGAGCCTGCCAGGCATCTCATGATCACAAGCTCACCGCTCTCGGCGTCCAATTCATCTCACGAGTGGGAGGACTACGGTGGATACCCAAGGAGAATGTTGCCGCCAACACCCGGACGGACACCGCCTTTACCTCTGACGATTCAAAGAAACATCATCGATGAACCGGCGGGATTGGTGCCCTCGCAAGTGCAGATCGACCTGCAACCAGGTTCAGCTTCCGTAGATTGGGCTTACCAACCTCACAGAAATCCAATCAGCAGTACTTCGTCGTCGTCGCTTTCGACCAGCGACGGCCGGGGCCGCTCGAGGCTCAGCACTCGAAGTGACTTACTGCTCCCACCAGATCCAACGCAAGCTGCATCGAGAGAGCACATCGACATCGTGGTTCGGCCCATGGCACGAGATTATTCTCGCGGCCGACCACACCGGCGCGTTGTCAGGAAAAGGGCTGTGTGCAGCCAGAAACCTCATTGTCACCACCGTCTTCGAAGTCTAAGCCCATCTGATCGCGGGGCTAGGACAAGATCTCTGTCAGGCCACAGGGAGTTTACATCATCAGAGTTAAGCCCTCCGGAGGAGTCTTTCGACGACGAGGTCCTTCCACCCCGACAGTATGGCGAGACTCTTCGCGTGCGAGAGCAGGCACATCATACATTCAGTGTCCGACAACACCACCGTAGACAGCCTATTGCAAGGAATTGGGGCACGGGCAAGAAGCGTTTGACTGCTATCATTGCGTGCATCAACACTGCTCTGCTCGGCATCATCATTGGAGTTTACGTGAGCAGTCTGACCATCCACACGAACTGCAGCATCTGACAGAGAAAAGGCAGGAGAAGTACCACGCATTCAATACTACCTCGCAGACGAGAGCCATGTCTCCATTCTCGGCAACGTGGTGTAAGTGGTGCCGCTACAGCTTCTGGACGTAATTGACCACAGACAGATTGTACATCGGACTCGCCATCTCCACGTGTCTAGTTTGGCCACTGCCACTGCTGCATGGCCGGAAGCCGTACATATTGGCCGCGTTGACTCTTGCCATGCCGTTGCAGTTCCCACAGGCGATGATCCTGAGCGCCAAGAGATCTCCGACACGGCAAGAGTTTCGAGCGGGTCTGCTTCTTGCTCGGGTAGCAACTGGACTTGTCCTCGGATTCGCCAATGTCAACTACATCACGGTACTGCTCGACTTGTTTGGCGCGTCCCTGCAGAGCAAGAACCCACACCAAGAATTCGTTGTGTCGAATGATGTGAGGCGACATGGCGGAGGCATGGGCTTGTGGCTCGGCATATGGTCCTGGTGCTGGATTGCTTCGCTCGCTGTTGGGTTCATGGTCGGCGCAGTCATCATCGAGAATCTGAGTCCAGACTGGGGCTTCTACACGGTCATCATATTACTCTGCGCAGCGCTGGTACTGAACATTATTGCGCCCGAGACTCGGCGTGCAGCGTACCGAAAGTCAGTAACAGAGGTGTACGATCGCGACGAGAACTACATCACGCGCCGAGTGGCACGTGGCGAATGCAAATTGCATATATCAACAGAGGGCCCAAAGTACTGGTTCGAAGAAGTCTGGGCCGGGATCAAGCTCATGATCATGATGATGTGCCAGCCCGGCTTCTTCGTTCTGGCGCTGTACCTCGCCTGGATCTATGCGCAGGTCGTGCTCGTCATCATGCTTCTCGGCTCGCTGCTATCGAGGAACTACAAGTGGCAGCCGCGCTTCGTGGGAGCCGGAGTTACATCGATTGCCATCGGAGCCTTCCTGGCGCTTCCTTTAACCAAGGCTAGGATCTTCTCTCGCGAACGGAAGAACTCCTTTCGAACGGACAGCATGACGTTCCAGAAGCAAGTGACTTGGTCATCGCACCTGGTTCGGCGTACGCTCTTTACGGTCGTGCTCCCACTGATGGGCCTGGGCTACACCCTTTCCTCGGCAGGACGCCCAAGACCGTTCATGGTTCCGATCGTGTTTGCCGGTGCGCTGGGATTCTTTAGCATTCTCGCGATCGCCGAATGCCACGGCCTCATCATGGAGACGTTTGATACGTGCGACTTGCAGCCTGGCGTCAACACGAAGCATCGGCTGCAGTCGATGGCAGTGCAAGACCGGCGCCGTCGAACAAACTACTCGTCTTTCCCTCGGGTGACGGCTGGCATCTTTGCCTCTCAAACGTTGGCGTTTACGGGCGGGGCGATAGCTACAGAGGTGGGCGGCATCATGACGCGGCGCCTGGATGCTCAGACATCGACTGGGGTGACGGCTGGGATTCTACTGTTCCTGACCATGGCGCTTACGCTCGTTCTTGTGCGGTTCAGAAGCGTGCAGGTGATACCCAACCACACGTTTGGCACTCGACGCGACACGGCAGCGTGGGAGGAGTTTGGGCAGCTTGAGAAGATGGGCAGAGGCAGCGACTGGAAAGCGGTGGTGATTGGCAACCCGAGTGGGAAGATGCGCAGGATGAGCGTGCTGGAGCTGGGGGCACTGAGTCGCTGGACGGAGATCCGGAAGCTCAACTTTTTGGTGAAGGGGCCGCGACTGGGCGAGGTGCGAGCTAAGACGTGGCGAGACAGCTGGTAGCGAGCAGGTGTAGATTGGTCAGACTGGTGAGAGAGAATTCCTAGCATGCGATTAGAGGATATGTGTATGGCATTTTGTCATGTGGTGGTGATGTTTTGTCATGTAGTGGTGATGTTTTGTCATGTAGTGGTGATGTTTTGTCATGTGGTGGTGATGTTTTGTCATGTGGTGGTGATGTTTTGTCATGTGGTGGTGATGTTTTGTCATGTGGTGGTGGCATTCTGTGACGTAGTGGTGGTGATGTTTTTTGATGTGGTAGTGGGATTCTGTGGTGTAGTGGTGGCATTGCGGTAATGTGGTTGGACCAGAGCATACATGTCTGGCATGCTGTGGTGGTGGTGAGCTGATGCATGGGTGCTGTACCGATAGCGCCAAGCGAAAAAAACGCTCGAGCTCTCGCAGGCCAACACGACTTGCTTCGGAGCCGGACTCCACCACCTCCATCGCCCACGCACGCCGACGCACCATCACAATGTCATTCGCAGTATCTCGCGCGCTCGTCCGCCAGTCGCGGATCGCCGTCCGCCGCGCGGGCGTGCGCAATGCCTCTTCGACGTCCGAGGCGGCCGGCGCGGCCAAGGAGAAGGCCGGCGACGCGGCGGCCAAGGTGCAGTCCAAGGCCTCCGAGGGCCTGACCAAGGTCAAGAGCTCGGCTGAGTCTGCGGCCAGCTCGGTCAGCAACGCGGCCAGCAATGCTGCGAGCACGGTCAACAGCACGGCGAGCCAGGCCCAGGGCCGCGTGGGAAGGCTGGTTGGCGCTGTTCAGGGTACGTCATTTTCCAACGGGGTCAATTGGGTGTGCAGAGCAGAATGGGGGAGCGCACATGGTCCCAGCACGTCGAGGCTCAATGGCGCGGTGGGAGGGCTCTGCGGCTCGACTCTAGAGGGCAGCTAGACGACCCAACAGAGGGCAGCTAGACGACTCTACAGAGGGCAGCTAGATGACTCTACAGACGGCAGCTAGACGACCCAAGAGAGGGCAGCTAGACGACCCAACAGACGGCAGCTAGACGATTCAACAGACGGCAGCTAACACACGCAGGACTGATCCCCAAGGCGACATACTACGGCCGCGTCGGCCTCGAGCTCGGCAAGCTCATCACGCACAGCCGCGGCATGGCGCCTCCGTACGCGCCCCCCTCTCCTGCACCGTGACACGCACCCGCTGACCCTGACCAGCTCCATCTCGACCATGCAGTCGTACCTGCAGCCGGCGCTCAACGCGCTGCGCCACCCGGCCTCGCTCGCCAGCTCGATGAACCCCAACACGATCCTCGCCCAGATCCGCGGCGCGTCGAGCGCGCAGTACTGGAGCGCGGGTGTTGTTGCCGCCGAGGTTCTGGGCTTCTTCTCCGTCGGCGAGATGATTGGCCGCTTCAAGGTTGTTGGGTACAGGGAGAAGGCGCACGGTGGGGAGGGCGAGGCTCACTGAGCGCGGGTAGGAGGGGGAGACTGTAAAGCGTAATGCAGCGTTGATGTTGGAGGGCAGGGACAGCTCAGTCAAGCTGTGCTGAGCTGGTGGGCAGACGCACGGATGGCGAGGCGTGTACGATTCGAATGGGCCTGTACTCTGTACTGTGCACACACACACATCTGATTCTAGATTTTCTTTGCTCTGCTTTATGTCCGTCTCTATTGTGACGTGCACGTGATCTGCACGGCCGGGCCCTGGCTCACGCAGTGCGGTGCTGTGGTTTTCCTCCCTCGCGTCTCTCGGGCCCGTCACTCGTGCCCCGTGCATACTGTGTCAACCAGCCAGGTACACACTCGCAGTGCGAGCCGGCACTTTGCTTGGTCACTTACTCGTCTGTTTACTTGCTGCTTGGTTGTTTGCGTATTTGCTTGTCCACTTGCTTGTCCACTTGCTTGTTCATTTGCTTGTTCATTTGCTTGTTCATTTGCTTGTCCACTTGCTTGTTCACTTGCTTGTTCACTGGCTTGTTCACTTGCTTGTCCACTGGCTTGCCGGATTAAGCAGTGCTGCAGTGCTGCAGTGCTGCAGCGCTGGATTCGATTGGTTCGTTGGCAAGCCCGTTGATTGGCGCGCAGATCGGACTGTGGATTGGTTGGCCGATTCGTGGGCCCGCTTTATTTTGGTCCTGAAGTTCCAACTTTTTGGACGGGCATCTTTGCAGCCACCAGACGATTCACGCTTCAGACGCTTCACGCTCCACACGCTTCACACTGACCAGTCACACACGGGTCACACCGCATGGACGTCTTCAAGCTGCTCTCGCGCTCCGGCGCCAAAGCGGGCGCAAAGGCGCGCGCGACGCAGAATCTGCCCTCGAGCGGCGCCGCGGCGAATCCGCAGCTCTTCGGCCACGAGGGCGGACCCGGACACAGCGGCGCGGCGAGCAAGAAGAGGAAGAGAGGCCAGCACAGGGCGGAGCAGGCGGGGGAGAGCGAGAGCTTGTCGGCGGGCCTGGACTTTTTCGCCGCGGATAAGCGTGCAAAGGGCGCGGGCGAGAAGCGCTCGAGGAGAGCTGCGCCCGAGGTGGACGCAGATGAGGGTGCAGAGGGTGCAGAGGGTGCAGATGAGGGTGCAGAGAATGCAGATGAGGGTGCAGAGAATGCACACGACGCCGCAGAGGAGACATACGACGCTGCAGAGAGCAAGCGCGTCCTGCGCTCGCACAAGCTGAAGATTGCCGTGCTGGACGACTTTGCCGACGCCCAGCAGAAGAAGAGCGCAAAGAGCGCAAAGAGCACAAAGAGCACAAAGAACACAAAGAACACAAAGCGCAGCAAGCAAAACGACGACACCGAGCCCAAGCCCACCAAGGACGCGAAGAAGCAGCTCTACCCGCACCCGCTCACTGACTTTGCCCAGCTGCGCACGCGCTACGCCGTCTCGAGGCGCCTCGCGCAGAACCTGCACGAGCAGGGCTACAGGCTGCCGACCGAGGTCCAGCTCGGCGCGCTGCCGCTCCTGCTCGCCGGCAAGAAGCAGCCTGCTGCGAAGACGGACGGCGCCGAGGCCGCGAGCTCGGGCGCAGAGTACGGCGGCCATGTCGATCTGCTGACCATTGCGCCGACGGGGAGCGGCAAGACGGTCGCCTTCTTGGTCCCGGTCATCAATGCGCTGCTCGGCGAGGGCGCGGCGGACGCGGCGAGCGGGCCGCGGGCGGTTGTCGTTGCGCCGACGCGAGAGCTGGCGGCGCAGATTGTGAACGAGGCGCGGAAGCTGGCCAAGGGCACGGGCATCAAGGCTGCGCTCATGAGGAAGGGCATGGAGGTTGTTGAGCGCGGGGATGACTTGGTCGGCGAGAAGCCCTCAGCCGACGATGACCACGACGACGGCAACGACAACGACGACGACGACAACGACGACGACGACAACGACGACGACGACGACGACAACAACAACGACAACAACAACAACAACGGCCACAACAACAACAACAACAACAACAACAACGACAACAACAACAACGGCCACATCCAGAAGAAGCGCCGCGCAGAGCTCGTCAAAGCCGCCATCATCGTCGCGACGCCCCTCGCCCTCCTCAACGCCCTCAAGCGCAGAGACGGCTCCGTCGCGCCCCTCTTCTCCGTCCGCCACATGGTCCTCGACGAGGCAGACGTCCTCCTCGACCCGCTGTTCCGCGACCAGACCCTCGCCGTCTGGGCCGCGTGCACAAACCCGCTCCTGCGCGTCGGCCTCTGGTCCGCGACAATGGGCGCCTCGATCGAGTCGCTCGCCGTGACCACGCTGAACTCGCGCTGGGCCGCGCTGGAGGCCGCCCATTCTGCCCATCCCGCCCATCCTGCCCATCCCGCCCATCCCGCCCATTCTGTCCATCCCGCCCATCCTGCCCTGCCTCCCCGCCCCCCTCTTGTCCGCCTCGTCGTCGGCCTCAAAGACACGGCCATCCCCAACGTCGCCCACCAGCTCGTCTACGCCGCCACCGAGTCCGGAAAACTCCTCGGCCTGCGCCAGCTCCTGCACCCCACGTCCACATCCCCCTCCTCCGCCGCGCCGGTCCTGCGCCCCCCCTTCCTGGTCTTCACCCAGACCATCCCGCGCGCCATCGCCCTGCACGCTGAGCTCCTCTACGACATCCCCCCCGAAGCAGGCGGCAGCTCGCGCATCGCCGTGCTGCACGCCGACCTGAGCTCCAGCGCGCGCGACGCCATCATGGCCCGCTTCAGAAAGGGCGAGGTCTGGGTCCTCATCACCACGGACCTGCTGGCGCGCGGCATCGACTTCCGCGGGCTCAACGGCGTCGTCAACTTCGACGCCCCGACCAGCGCCGCCGCCTACGTGCACCGCGTTGGCCGCACGGGCCGCGCCGGCCGCGAGGGCGGCCTGGCTGTCACCTTGTACACCCAGGACGACGTGCCGCACGTGCGCCTCATTGCGAACGTGATCCGCGCCTCCGAGGCCCTGCGCGGCGTCCCGGCGGGCGAGGGCAGCATCAAGACGTGGCTGCTCGACGCGCTGCCCGCGCCGACCAAGCGCGACAAGGCCGAGCTGAAGAAGCGCGGCGTCGGGTCCAGGCGCAGCGGCTTGACCGGCAGGGACGCGAACAAGGGCCGCATCAGCACCAAGTCCGGCTTCGAGCGCCGCGTCGAGAACAACAGACGCGGTGCGGTGCAGGGCAGTAAGCGGAGGGAGGAGCTCGCGCGGCGCGCGGGGCCGCGTAGTGATGGCGAGGGCGACAGCGGCGTCGAAGCGTAGCCAGATGGTTTCACGCACTACTTTGGGAAGCTAGAGCACCTTCATGAACACAAGCTGCGGATTGGACGTCTGTGGAATGGACGTCTGTAGAATACACAAG